GTGCCGCAAAGCGGCACGTGCTCATTTGCCAAATTGCCGTTATTCAACAATTTTTGCCCAATAATGTATACTTATACGATGCTTAATAACATTAAAAAAAGGCAAAAACGAAGTATAATTAATTTTTTGTTTAATACAGTAATAATGTATCTCACATGATCTGAGTGGCGATTTTAACCCCGTTTTCAGTAAGCCACATCGGCTGCGGTGTATTGGAATTAGATCTGCCGTTAATTACGAATTATTGGACTTGGTTATTAGTAAATAGTTAGAAATTACCAGTAATATTAATGGAACATAAAACAATTCTCTTTTTTATAATGGAAAAAAATTAGTCCATGCGGAGTTAAATTTTTTTGTTTGAATTATTATATACAAATTTTCTTTTTTTAATTTTTTTACACTTATTCGACATTACATGATAATGTCGTTAATTACAAAGGTATCAGATGGTCTTATAAGGAGAATATGAGAGTAATAATAGTAATAATAATATATAAAAAATAATAATAATATATAAAATAAACTTATAACCGGCGGTGACAATAACTGAGAATTCATTTAAAGTTAATGATTAGATAAATTGTATTATAGTAAAACGTTCAGGAATTACTTTTTCAGAGTATCAAAGTAAGTATCATAATCAACATTTAGATTTATTTTAGATTTGAAATTTTTGAAATTTTAATCATACAACTTTGCGACAGTTACAAATATATTTACCAAAAAATATATTACTAACCTCGAATTTAATGCAAGGCCACGCAAAGTTGCTTTTCGTTTGCATTACACGCTGACCCTTCTTTTCAATTTTCAAAAAAAAAATTTTTTTTAAGTTCCAATTGTGCCAATTATTCTATTTTTGCCATTTAATTTTCCCCATAAATTACTCCGACAACATCCGATAGAGACATATTTTTCCGGAATTATCCGATAAAAATATTCGACTGCCGACCCAATTTTCTGATTCCATGCTATGCAAAGCGAAAAATTATATTAATTTACTGTAGATTAAAAAAAAAAAAGAAAAAATATCCGACCGACCAATCGTGAATTGAATCCATGTAATGCAAACGAAAAATCAACTTTATGTGGCCTAATGTAAATTAAAAATTAACTTTATATTACCTTGTAAATTTTTGGGGGTCAACTTTCTTTATAATTGATATTTTAGTAGAAAAAAAATTTATCATCAGTTAAAGTTACCAATTTCGTATGAACCGTTGCAACTACGAAAAATGATTATTTAGAAAAAAATTTTAAGACTAAGCTTATCCGATGGTCATTGTAAAGAAGTTTGTTGAAAGGTAAGATTAGAGATGTGCCGTATGCATTATGCAGGCGATGTTGCATGCTACATAATGCTGCATAATGCGATGCAAGTTGCCTAAAATTTAAAAATGCACATAGAAGTTATTATATAATTTTGATCTATGTTATTTTCATTAACAATCACTTATAGACACTTGTTCCTATCAAAGTAAAAATTAATCTACAAGGTCAATTTTCACTATAAATCTAACAGTTTATATTTTCAAATCCGGCAACCTCTCAGTAATAATACAAAATCTGCTCACTGCATATAGGTTTTGAGAGGTCCACAGTATATTATACAGAATTACATAATGCATCATGCAACATAATGCTGCATTATGTGATGCAAAGCCAAAAAAACTTGCATTCGCACATCTCTAGGTAAGAGGTAGTTTGATAATTACTTGTTAAATTAATTCGTCAAAAGTTTCGCCAACGTCAAGATGATAAAATTTTAATAAATAGATGTTTAGTGCTTTACGCAGTAAATATTTAGAATTTATCTCTCCCATGTATAATACGCTCATTCTCAACTACTATTAATGTGATAGATAGTTAAAATGTTATGTTAATGTAGTGTTCCAAGATCTAACCTTTGCACTGTGCAAGATCTGTTTTATCTTTTCATGTGATATGTCTAGACAAAGGTAAATGCCTGAAAGTTATAGTAATAGAGCTAGATATCAGTCAGCATCAATAAAAGTATTAAAGATTATCCGTTTCCTACTTACCACAAAATACCTAACTTAGGTTACAAATGATCATGTGGATAATCTTATTTGCTAATAAACCTTGAGTTATTCTAATTACGGCACATATAAATGCCATAAAAAGTCAAATCAACATGTTATTGTAAATATATATGGTCTTTTGTAAACTATTAAATATAGCTTTGAGAAAAACAACTATTATCGTTTATTAATCATATAAGTATTAGATTTGTCTTTGTATTCGAATTAACTCTCATATAGTCCTAATATGAAATAGAATAGATGAATTGAATCTGTGATTGACCACGTGCATAAAACTATACATTATTTCAAAGCATTGTTGATTTGCTGTATTATAATTTATACGTCATTTTGTATTTAATGCAAGATATTCATCGGAGTTATCTGAATTTTTTCTACTCAAATTACAAGATACAATAGCAGTTCTTTAAAAATGTTTGTAGATATCAGTACTTCTATACCCTCAGCACCAAAAGCAACATCAAAAGTAACATCAAGAGTAACATCAAAAGTAATATCAAAAGTAACATCAACACCGACAACAGCTTTCAACCCGTCTGTTTCTGTAATGATGCCTACTGAATCTAGTAATAGAACTTTCCCGACTTTTCCGACTTTTCCGATAGATATTAATTTACCTGCTAGATTGGATGCTATAGGAATAGCAGCAGTAGCATTTACTGTTATTTCTATCTTAGTGGGTATACTAATATTTTATAAGAGAAAAAAAAATCCTAAGAAGGCTAGTAATGACAATAATGAACAGAACATTAAACGATTTCTGTATGTATTCATTTATCTGATGATGAAAATTTGTTAAATATATCTATAACGGTAATTTTTTTTATTTGTAAAAGGGGAATTTTCACACCTCGATACGGATCTTTTATTTCTATAGTATGGATGATTATATGGATGTTATTTAGTGGATGTGTAATGGCATTTTCAAAATATTCCTTTTCTATTTCAGAATTTGGGTATTATAACGGTAATTAAGTAATGAATATTTATTATGATCCTGTTACTGTATTTTACTTCTCACACCACTTTGCATTTGATATAATAGAATATATTTCTGTTGTTATACAATACGATGATGTTCTTAGATGGATTGGTATAAGTACGATATTGGTTTCAATTGCTTTATTGCCTGGCATCTTCATGATCATTTGCAAGTCGTCATCCATGACAGTGCGAATGCTTGTCAAGATTTTTATCTTTGAAATATTTTATTTTATAATGTCAAATGTGGCATTCATAAGTGTCTATGAATATGCGGGTATAAAATGTCGAGAAAATTGTTATAACTATTATAATCTAGGAATTTATGTAGAACGTTTTCTGGCACAAATGTATGAAAATACGTACACAGAGTTCAACATGCCTCTATGGACAATTCCATTAATCTTAGGCACTTTTCCAAGCGTTAGTAGCATTTTGAAATTTGTGAAATGTTTCAATCTCATAAATAATGTTTCTTTTTACTGATTGATTTTTTTAAATACATTTTTTGCATTTAGCCATATTTATATTGTTGCTTACAATCTTATGCAAGAGAACTGAAAAATAATGAAAAGGGTTATGGTAAAATAAGTAGCCTATTGAAGTAAAATGTGCATATACTTGAAATCCAAATGAATTAATTAAGTTATAATTTTCTTCTTTTAATTAAGATTCAACTTATTTAATTACATTTAGTTATTTGCAATGAGAATTTTTTATAAGTGATATTATTTATTAAAATTTGTAATTTTTGCTTCCCACATAATCTTTTTTTTTAATTCATTTAAATCTAGATCTATACAAACATTTAAATTATACATGCAATTTTTACTTCTTTTTTTTAATTAAGGCTGCAGCTTGTGACCATAAAATAGAAATGTTTTTAATATTTTTTTCATCGTAAAATAATCTAAAGTCAGCTGGCCTAAATTCGTATTCTAATAACTTAACAGGTTTTGCTTTACCATAAGTTTCAGAATAAAGAAGAGTAAGCCTTATTCCTGTTAAAGGAAACTTCTTAGGCATTAAAGTATTATTTTGTATCCCTAATTTATTTAGAGAACCCAATATCTCATTTGAATCAGTAACAAATCCACCAGGAAATGAGGTACATGATAATAAGGGAATACTTGCAATTCCACCAATTGATATTGTAGATACATTATTAAATTCAATAGCATGTTCTACGATCATTGCACATGCAGATCCACATAAACCATTTGTTAAAATAATATAATCTTCAGGTTTCCAAGGAAGAGGAATTGCAAAATTCTGAATAAATTCCTTCAAAAAATTTATATATGCATCAGAAATAACGTACTTTTTTGAATAATGTTCTGTAATATTGCCACGGGTAAAACTATTGTTTCCAAAAATATCATTTGCACTTGTAAAATTAATATGAGTTATTGCATCAGCATAATCAGACATATCAAAAACATTTCCTGGTGTTGCAAGTCTAAATTGTTCAGTGATTGCGAGTTTCATTGGCTCAGTAATTCGAAAATCAAATTCAAAAGAAGGATAGGTGTCAGGGAATAAAAGTAAACTAATAAAAGCACTAATTAAAACATATCCACCTAGATTGTCTGATAAGTCAAGAACAACCTTTAAAAACGGTTATAAATAAATATTAAAGAATATAAATAAATAAAATTACATGTACAAATGAAAGAAAATGGATAAATAAGCAAAGTTATTACTTGCCTTTTTAACACCTGTATTTCTTAAATCTTTAAATCCTTGAATTATATTTGCGAAAAATGCGGAATTAAATTTATCATTTTCATCATACATTTTAGGATAGTGTACTGTAAGGATTCGTACAACTCCAAAGTCTTTTATTTTATAAAATTCCATAAAATCATCAATAATTTTTATAATAGTTAATCCTTCAGCTTGTTTTGTCATTATACGATGAATATTATTGGATGATATTCTAGTATCTCGAATCCCGTTACTATAAGACATATGTTTATTTTCTTTTGTAGCATTACAAATATTTGTAAAATAAGTTCTTGAATTATTGAATCTTTCTAAAAGTTTAGGATTACTAAATGCAACCCAATTTCTTGTAACATTAAAGCTCCTAGTATGTTTACAACATTTAAGTGTATAAACAATACTTGGCGTCTCTGGTAATTCAGCTCGTACAGAAAAAGAATATCCTGAATGATTATGATCAAGGGCTGTATTAAATCGTACGCCAATATCTCTTGATGTATAAACTGAATCTTGGGCAAATTCAAAAATCACTTCAAATGCTTGACGACCATTTATATGAGTTACTTCGCAATCGATATTAGATGAATCAATAGTATCATCAAAGACTTTTATTATCTAATATATATATATTCAAAAAAAAAAAAAGAGTTAATATATTCACACAAAATGAAAATTTAAATAAATTATAGCCACAAGTTACCTGCTCACCATCGTCTTTAACAACTGAATATAACGTAATGTTTGTAAAAAAAGCAAATGTAGAAAAACAATCTGATATAAATAATGTATGCGGTTCTTTCATATCATAAAAGAAATGTTTAACATTAATCTATTAAAAGAATAAACCAGAATTATTATTCAAGTAAAAATAAAGTAGTTAAATGTAAATTGAATTATAAATTACTATAAAGTCGTATAAATTTTGAAAAGATTTTTCCTTCAAAAGGTTCAATTCAGTCAATATATCCCTTGACTTAAAGCTAAATCCGGATTGTGGTGGTTCTTTTGCTTTATTCAAAAGTGGATAAAACCCATCGAGTAATCTGGTTAATGATTCGATGGTCTGCAAATTAGCATATTTCATATGGTCAGAAATACGATCAAAATATAAAATTTTGCAGCTTTAAACACATTACAGTATTTTAAATGCACATATATGCATCTATAAAAATTGGACCTTAGAAGCAATTAGGCTATCGAACGGAATTCTTTCGTAACAATCTTTAACATCTTCATAACTAAAATTATTTGACTTTTTTGTAACAAATTTATTATGAATTCTTGCGCATCCATCAAAAATGGAATCTTCTCGTAGGGTCGCATATGATTGTACATTTAAGATAGAAGAAAACACGAACGCAAAGAATGCAAAATGGAATTTCATAATATATAAAGTTTATTAAATAAATCAAGTAAAGAATTATTAGAAAAGTCTTCAAAAATTTCTTTTTTTTTTTTAGCAGTCGCGTTTCTGCAAGCCTATTTAAAATATCTATTTTCGTGGCATGCCTAAAAATAGTTTGTAATGATTTGAAGATACTTTTTTTTTAAAATATTATATATATATGGAAGAATATTTCTGTATTTATATAAATTTGAAAATCTAAATTTCATTTAAATAAATTTAGAAATTTAGTCACTTGTAAAATCTGTAAAACTTGTGGTTAATATTATGTATACTTACCAAGGCTTCACGGCCATATTTGTAATCACTAATTGGTTAATGGTTTGTTCCTTAATAATAAAACATTGTAATAATCAGTAAAGTTCTGTGCATTTTTTTAAAGTCTGCTCCTATAGCTATAGCTCGATGAACAAGCTTATATGATTGCTCGATACTCAATTCATGCTAATTTTAAATCAGAGATTATTAAAGAAATATGTACGATAGTTAAGAAGTTTAATTAATATTAAGACGCTGCAGCTGCGAATAACGGAATCAAGCTAAACAACAGGTAAGCTTATGGCTTAATTTGTCGATGATAGCGCTTATCATTAATGCTAATTTGAATGTTTGGTCGGTAAAGACACACGTAATTAGAAATCTATTATTAGAAATTTGCAGTACGGTACACAATACTCGGTAACACGACACATCGTATTCGGTTTTTGTTTTTCATGGTTTCTTTATTTACTGTTATTTAATCCGAAATCAAATTGTCATAATTACGAAAATTTCTTAGAATATAATTAATACTAAAAGAGAAAGATGTGTATAAATTAAGTATAATCGGAGAGAAATGAAGCCTCTAATCAGATGTACTACTAATTAATCTATAAAAAGATTCAGAGCTAGAGTGGGCTGGAACATGTGATATGCATATACTCGTACGTACGTACGTATCAGATATGTACCTGGTACGTACATGTTTTCGTATATCATATATATTCGTAGAATTAACGCTCTTATAACAAGTTATAAAATCTTAATTTTATATTATTTCATTATACAGTCAAACTCTGAATGCAACCGCCTAAATGTAATACCTCTTTAAATTCAAGTTTTAACTCTGGCCCAATTATATATCAGACACTCATAATGTAATTTTTCTCTAAATATAAGCTGGTCCTTACGAATCGTGTTTAGGGAGGTTTGACTGTAGTAAGTTTTGTGGGCGATTGGAAACTCATTTTTTCGCCAAAACAATTGACTTGTTATAAAGAATGTTAGCGGTAACTTTTAAAGTAAATTTATGGCTATTGTTTTCAAAAACTCGTTTCGAATTTATTTGCGAACTACATATCAAAGTTGTAACCAAAGGAAATTAAGAAGACTTTAAATTGTGAGTTTTAGGCAGAATATATATACAACGTCACAAGACGACTCTGCTAAGAAAAAAATTCTGTATAATTAAATATATATACAACGTCACAAGACGACTCTGCTAAGAGAAAAAAATTCTGCATAATTAAATATAAATTACAATACTCATTATATTTAAATTGTTCGGATAAAACTTCCTTTTTGCGAGTATATATTAAAATAGACAATTCCTATTTGTACACTAGTGTATGAAACACATGTACATATAATAACTCAAAAATTTTTTGCTTATGAAACCACTCTTTAGGTTGCAGCAAAAAAAAAAAAAGTCTACGTGAAATTTTAGTATAAGCTACTTTCTAACACAACCCTAATCCTAATCTATTCTATAACATTATACTCGTGCTAGTGTGAATTAGAAATTTTCTTAAAAATAACTTTTTATTCTAAATAGATGCTTTATGTTCATCCTTTTCAACTTCAACTCCATTTCGATAATAATATCCAACACTATATGTTCCATCAGCGTTCCCCAACTCTGCAGATTTTTGATAATAGACGAATGACTTACGCTCATCCTTTTCAACTCCAATTCCACTTCTATAACATTCGCTAAGTGCAAGTATTCCCATAACATTCCCCATGTTTGCAGATTTTTGACAATAAATAAATGCCTTATGTTCGTTCTTTTCAACACCAATCCCCTTTTGATAACAAATCCCAACCTGAAGTGTTCCATCAGCGTTTCCCATCTCTGCAGATTTTTGATAATAAGTGAATGCTTTACGTTCATCCTTTTCAACTCCAATTCCTTCACTATAACAATGACCAAGAGCAAATGTTCCATCAGCATCACCCATCTCTGCAGATTTTTGATAATAAATAAATGCCTTATGTTCATTCTTTTCAACTCCAATTCCATTCTGATAACAATTCCCAACCTGGAATATTCCGTTAACGTCACCCATCTCTGCAGATTTTTGATAATAAATGAACGCTTTATGTTCATCCTTTTCAACTCCAATTCCTTCGTCATAACAATACCCAATTTGAAATGTTCCATTAGCATCACCCATCTCTGCTGACTTTTGATAATAAATGTATGCCTTATGTTCATCCTTTTCAACTCCAATTCCTTTTTCATAACAGTGTCCAACTTGAAATATCCCGTTAGCGTGCTCCATCTCTGCTGACTTTTGATAATAAATGAATGCCTTAGGTTCGTCCTTTTCAACTCCAATTCCATGATGATAACAATGTCCAACATTAAATGTTCCATTAACATCACCCAGCTCTGCAGATTTTTGATAATAAATAAATGCCTTACGTTCATCCTTTTCAGTTCCAATTCCATTTTGATAATAATATCCAACTAGGAATGTTACTTTAACGTCCCCCATCTCTGCTGATTTTTGATAATAAATGAACGCTTTACGCTCATCCTTTTCAACTCCAATTCCATTCCTATAACAATATCCAACATTATATATCCCGCTAGCATCTCCCATCTCTGCAGATTTTTGATAATAAATAAATGCCTTAGATTCATCCTTTTCAACACCGATTCCTTCTTCATAAAAATTTCCAACCTGGAATGTTCCTTTAGCGTGCCCCATCTCTGCTGATTTTTGATAGTACATAAATGCCTTACGTTCATCCTTTTCAACTCCGATTCCATTCCGATAACAATATCCAACATTAAATGTTCCATTAACATCTCCCATATCAGCAGATTTTTGATAATAAATAAATGCCTTGCGTTCATCTTTTTCAACCCCGATTCCTTTTTCATAACAATATCCAACGCTACATGTTCCATTAGGGTCACCCATCTTTGCAGATTTTTGATAATAAATAAATGCTTTACTCTCATCCTTTTCAATCCATTTACCATAACAGTAACAACTTGCAAGAACGACTTGAACCGTAGGATTTATTTGATCTTCCAAACAAAATTTGATAATATTATCAGGTTTTTGTTTCTTATTTATTAAAAATTGTTCTAATGTATCAAGAATTAAACGAGAATTTTTTCCTTTCAATCTTTCTTCTTTATACAGATTACACATTT